TGCAGAAGCAAATGGCAACAGTTTTTTGGGATAAGAAGGTAGTTCTGCTGGTGGACTACCTCCAACAGGGTTCAACCATCAATGCAAAATATTACTGTGCTTTATTGACGAAGTTGAGGCAAAACATCAAGGAAAAAACGTAGAGGAAAGGTGTCATCCTGTTGCATGACAATGCCTCATCACACACAGCAGGTGAAACAATGGCAAAACTGACCTCCTTAGGCTTTCAAGTGATGCCCCATCCACCCTATTCTCCCGACCTGGCTCCTTCTGACTATTATCTGTTCCCCAGACTCAAAAAACATCTAAAGGGACAACAATTTGGGAGTTTTCTGGAGGCAACTAATGCTGCAAATGAGTGGTTACACCAGCAGTCGGAAGAAATTTATTTGCAGTGACTTAAGAAGGTGCAGGACAGATGTCACAAATGCACTGACTTCCTGGGGGAATATGTAGAATAGTGTGGCAGTTACAGCTTCCTAGCTCAATTTTTTTCCGGAAAAGGCTCAATACTTATCAGCACCCCCTCATATATGCTAAGGGTGGGCAACCTCAGTGGGGCTAACAGCAATTTTTCAAACTAGCTGACAGCATGAAGGATACACTCTCAAGGGGAGCAAGGTTTAAGTGGTAGGGAACAGGCCACAATATAAACTGTAAATTTAAACCACTTATTTCATATTTCATCACATTTAATTATTATCTTTCTTCTAATAACAAAAAATGATTTATAGATAAAATGATGGTTTACAACCAATGATAGCTGGCAGAAAAGGAAAAGATGATTGGAAGGAAGGGGAAAATAAGGGGGGGGGGAGCCCAGATTGGTGTTTTTGTACTCTAACCTAAAGACTTGCTGTTTCTAAAGAAGTAGTTGTATTGTTCTGTCAGAGCCTCTTGGCAAAGAAGCAGGGGAGAACGAAGTATTGCAGCACCCTAAAGGCCACAATGTTTTGCCCTGCTCCCGTTTTTTTTTCCAGCTGGGGTGCACACAATAAGGAGTGCTTCTGAGAGAAAGGGTACCCAATGGATATTTTTCCTAGCCAAGTTGATGAAGCTACACTCTTTCATATCCTACTGATGTACAGTACACAGTTAGAGGTAGTGGTAGAGACAGTGAAAGTGAAAGTACCTTGGGAAGTGGTGAGTGCTCCAATGCTGAAGGCATTCAAGAGAAAATTAGACAACCATCTGTCAGATCTGCTTTGACTTGGATTCCTGTCTTGAGCAGGAAGGTGGACTCAATGGCCTTATAAGCCCCTTCCAACTCTATGATTCTATGAAATGGCTGCAGAAATGGCTGCTCTGGAAATCTAGAAGTCAAATGAAAGTAAGTCCCAGCTGACATTCACAAGGTTTATTACCTAAGTTCTTTACATGTGAGTCAGTTTTATATTATTATTTGTGTATTGTTATTCTTTTATCAAGTAGAAGGAAGCATACACCTCTTTTAACCACAGAACAATGGTGTGAAGTAAGTTAGATGTAGTAGTGGTATATGGTAGTTTTAAACCTTGGACATAATGATCTTACCTGGTTGGTATACATTTTTCTTACTTTGATTGTAAAGCTCATAGCCAACATCTAACCCCTTGCCCACACTTTCCTATTTTACAACTGTTTCTATATTCCTGATATGTTTAATTCCTCTACTGAGTCCACTTTAAAAAAATAAAATTATCTAAGTCTATGCACTTCTGCATCCTAAGCTATGTTAATTCATATCATCAGCTTGACTAGTGATAAAACTGAGTTTGTTTCAACTGGCTGGATCCTAAGGACACTGTTTTAGAAATAAGTGCTGTTTTGTCATGGAAAAGATAATGTATTTGCAATGTAAAAAAATAATAAAATGAACACTTGTAATATATGCCCAGCTGGCTTCCCTAACTAAAAGCTACTTCTAAAAATAAAAAGACAATATGTTGCAGTGAGCAGAGTCATGATGGCCCAGTTGCACAACTGACAATGTGCAGGTATACTGTCAAGTAGCATTAAATCGCCTATAATTCACTGCCTTGTTGGAGCTGCATGATCCCCAGCAGCCTCAAGAAACGCAGTATTGTTATTATTTAAATAATTTGTTCATGGCTTTTCTGTGTACCAGAAAAGCTCATGAGAATTTCCAAAACATTAAAATAATTAAAATAATTAAGAACAGGTTTAAAACATTCAAAGCAAATTAAAAACACATGCTAAGAAATTGAACGCTTTAAAAAATGGATACAAACTTTCTCCAAAAACCACCACCACCCCCCAAAAATATTAGAGGCAAGCTGCTCTTTGGACCAGCACAGGTCTAGCTGCCTATCAGAAGCTGAGCAGAGATGGGGTAACAACTTCCTTTGGATTTTTTGAGCTACATTTGGCCCCACTGTCCAGCACATGCCTGTGATCACAACTGTGTAACTGCCCCTGCTAATCAGAGATGAACAACTGGCCATAGCAATCTGCTTTGGCACCATAATTTATATTATATAAATAAGCCCACAAAACGTTGTGAGCAAATTGCATTGCATTGTGGCCAGTCATTTATCTCATCTACATCACATAGAAGAGGATATCAGAGCGCTTCTTTCAAGCTAGTGCTGGAGAACAGATGGACCATAACTCCCATCATTTCTTACTGATGGCTGTTTGGGTAGGGTGACAGGAGTGGCAGTCTAACATCTGGGAGCAGTTTCGTTCCCCACCGCTGCTTTTAAAAAAAAGCACAGCAGGGCAAATAAATAGATGTAACCTCTGTTGAACGTGGGATTATGCGCTCTGTTTCCTTGCGCCGTTCATTCGCCGGAAAGCAACGAAGGAAACAAAATCGCAGTAATTTGTGTACCATCCCTAAACGTATTGAAGCTACAAGCCATGCGCAAGGGGGAGGAGAACCGTCCAGCGAATGAAAACGTTGAAGAAGGAAGTTGCTTAAGGATTTCAAGGCTTGGATCGCTTAGACTGATTATCCAGGACTCGGGGCGCCTAGATTCGACAATGATTTCACCTCCCACGCGTTTATAACCACAGCTGTTACGAGAGAACAGGAGACAGTTTGGGTCTGTGAGAACAGAAT